ATGTTACATTTTAAAGCTAAAAATGATCATTTTACTTTTTTACTTTAAAATGTAACATCTAGTTACTTGTTACAAAAATAAGTATGTTCCAAGTCATCATGAAAGAAGATGTTTCTGCACTCTAAAAAATAAAGTGTTGAATTTATTCAACATCAACGGGCTCCACTAAGCCTAGCTGAGTAAACTGAACAAAGAATATACATATATTGCTCAGTTTATTCAACTTGGCTTAGTGGAACCAATTTGGTTCAATAAATTCAGCAGTTTATTTCTCAGAGAGTGTGTAAAAGTACTTTTACTTCCCCAATTTTTGTGAGCAGTTTTATGACTTTTACTTTAGTAGTTTTCTCATCAGTGAAATTAATTTTTACCAACATTATTTTCTGTTCATGCAATTTTGCTTTTACTTAGTTGTTTTTTTCAAGTACTTTATAGATATCTGAAGTTTTTCCTCTTCACTTAGATAGAAAAACCTTACCTGCCGTGTCCTTCGCCCCAGCAGAGGATCATGAGATTGAATTTCCCGTTACCCTCATCCACTAAGTTTCTGGTGTACCTGAAAGAAATGGGATTTTGCTGACTGAACATGGAGGTACAGGTCAACAAATATATCATTTGCTTGTGTTAAAAGTAACAGAGTGGTATATTTAAAAGGAAAATGTTGTTAATTTAGAATTTGGACGTTTTAAGGAAGCTCGTACAAGTTTATTTTACAAAAGAAGTGAACCTCAATAAGTACAAAAATAAAGAATATGTTAAACTTCACCAAATAATCTGTATCTTTGTAGTAAAGATAGAGGTAAAGATAAGGGGATTTTGTTTTAATTTATTTCACCATTTGCAACACAGAAAACTTCATATAATAGCTTGTAATTTATGTTAGAATCTAACAGCAGCAAATGTGTAAGTGTGCACTTGTTTTTTTTGGCAGTCATTCACACCGTGTTTATGCAATAAAAGGGCGGGTGTGTATCTTTCCTGTGTGTTGATTGGATGGCACCCACCCCTATTGACTCAACACTAACCCAAACACTGTTTATCTGGGTCTTTTCCAATAAAACACAAAGGATCTGTCCAAGGGCCTAACTTTGTGCTGAAAGTTGGTGGGAGGCACCATGGGGGACGGAGTCTGTCTGCACTCGTCAACAACTGAACACCAAATGTTTCTGTTGTGATGCAATAATACTCAAACCAAATTAACTGAGATTATGTTCACCATCATTCAACCATGTACTCTATCAGCCCTTTAAACTCACTAAGAATACAGTTTGACAATCAGCCATAGTTTCAAACAGAGACACACAGGTGGAGCACAGGTGTGTTGGTTTATCCTCTCACATAGGTCTTATAATATGTGTAAAGGACACACTGGAGGAGGGGTCTGGGGGTCCTCCCCCAGAAAATTTTGAATAAATTAGAAGCTATTTCCTGATTTCTRATGCATTTTACCAGGCTGTTAAAGATACTTTTACCTACATAAATAAACACCTGATTTAATGACTGGAGACAGATTCTTCATTAAACTAGTTGCATCGTCCTGTTTTTAAATTCAGTTATGACTCAGATAATTGAATTAATGTGACAAATTATTCTAAACAAGCTTAGAGGAGGTTTTTACATTTATTTATAAGATTGATATGTGGA